GCATAACGCTAACAAGAGTCTTACACAACTGTGAAAGCCTTTAAATTCATTATGTATTTCGATCAAAAATTACTAACTATCAAAGAAGGCGTAATGTTCATATCTAAGAAAACAGCTGAGTTTGATAACCTACCACCAGCCATGTTCCCCTAACAATTTGGGGTTTCTGACACAGCCTTGTTCAAGCAATTTTTGCAATCTAGCCTGGCTGAATCTGGCATTCACTGAACAAGACCGTAGATAGTTCCGGATCTAGTTCTCATGTTCCCTGTTGCATACTTTCATTGAGAGTCACCAGCAACAGCATTACTTCTTATACTTACCAAAAGACCATCAAGTGCACCATTGTACATGTACGTCAGCATCAGTTTCATTATTTGGATTCGCCATGCAGAAGGAAAAGTTAGGATTCTCGAATATCCCATGCATTGAATAACTCGAGTATCATAAAATGCAAGGTTCATCGTATAAAACTGCCTTTTTCTGATTTAGACATAGGTTTGGGAAAATTTAGTGGCATTGTTGAGGTAAGTGCGACAGAAATCTGGATTCACATGTCCTCTGCAATACCTTAGGGCATAAACTCTATTGGAGTATTTGCCATAAAAGGCACTGTAGAAGCCATAATCGATATCCGTGTATGAAGTGAGATTAGAAAGAAGGATATTAAGGTTCATCTGATAGATAGCTATATTTGAGAAGTAACTATTGTCAATGAAACATTTGTCAATCTCGACAGTGAGAATAAGAAGATGAGAAAGGAATGAAAGAAGAGCCAAAGAAATGATAGAAGACATCGTTATCATCACATTGGAGGGAAGTGCGAGAGATGAAATTAAAGAAGGATTAAGCTTAGTGTGTAATTTGCGGTCCAATAGATTTCTAGCTCAATGTATTTATGGTCCACACTCCACATGTTGACAATACAAGTCTGCCATACGGTCATTTGGTCAACTCATTAATCATAATGCAATAATTCTAGCATGCCCTTTTAGTTTCGTTAATTTGTCGTAGCATCGCATTACTGTTCATCGAGATGTAGAACTTCGGATGCCTACTACGCCTGCGTGGTGTAGGAGCTTTTTACGTCATTCTTGATGCATAACACATAATGCATTATGCACTGGAGCAGTGGAAATCACAATTTTCTGGATATCCTCCTAGGGGATGACATTCATTCACTGCTAAAAAAATAAAATAATATAAGTCGCTACTAAAACTTCAAAAGTCACCACTTCACCTCTAGAAGATTGTTGTTATAACAATTATCGCTAATAGTTTTTGATAATGACAAGAAGTTTTTCATTGCTAAAAGTTTATTTTTATCTTTTTTTTAGAATAATAATTTATTTTATGACTTTTAGCTTTTAGATTTTTAGCAGTGACAACACTTTTTTTAGACTTTTAATAGTGACAAATCTTGTTGTCAAAACTTTTTTTAAATAAAAATAATTTATTTTATGTCATGACACTTTATCACGTATACATCACCTCACCACCTCATGTCAGGTCACGCACGTGTTCAACAAATGTTGCCACCTTGCACCACGTCACCCGCCACGTGTGTGCATCATCAAGTCACCTCATACACCATGTCATCACTATGTGCCATGTCATATACTTGTTACAAAAGATCCCAAAATCATGGTTTGAACCTTTGACCTCCCATCTTCAAGCCCTAAGTGTCTCTTCTTTGTCAATTAAACTAAAATACACCTGCAATCATTATATGTGAAATTAAATATATATTATTTAACTATATACACATATATCAAATAAGATATTATTAAAAGATATACATATATTTTATTTTATTTTTAATTATTAATATGACAAAATAATTTATATGAATATTTAAATTATATTTTTAATAAAATATTATTTTTTACTAGTAAATATTATTTTTGTTAGGAAAATGAATTTAAAATAAACAAATTTTAAATTTTAAATGTTATTCTTATATGCATTGTAGCCAATTTTTAAATTTTATTTTTTTAAAATGAAATTATTAAGTATAAAATTTATTATAAATTTGTATTATATTATTTATGTTAGATATTTTTTATTTTTTTCTTCTCCATATTTTTATCAAAAATTAATAAATTAATTATTAAAATTTATCGTCTCTCAAAATGGTTAAACGTTCCCCCTCTTTTATTAAAAATATCTTTTATCTATAATTTTACAAGATGTTAAAAAATTAGTTTAATATCAAATTAATTTCAACCACATAAATTTTATTAATAGTCATTTTGAATAATTTTAAATTTTTAATAAATACTAATAATTTTTATAATATAAGATGATTACAAAGATCTCATATGTGATCAATCTAGTTAACTTCTAATCATTCTCTACCTTATAGCAGGAGAATTTGAATATTTTTTTTTACATGCTTCTTAGTAATAATTAGCTATAAAAATCTTATTAGTAATTTCTTTTTTTATAACAATAAAACCTAAATATATTAGGCAATATCACATGAAATCCTTATCCAAAAGCCATTAGAGCTCAATAGAAGAAGTAAACACTATGTGTATACTAAGTTAAGCATCAAGTGTATAATATGTCAAGTAGCCTATAATATCATTTTTATCTCATAGCTTTAACTTTAATGTCTCAATGCCATTTATGTATTTATATATAAGTAATAATTTATGTATAATTTAACTTGACGGTAATTGAAAGTAATAATCTACCAAGATTTTAATTTATCATATTAAAATACTAGCTTAATAATAATTTCTAAAAATATGAGCTATATATGTCTGAAAAATTGTGAATAATACCAAATTAAAAATGATTTAATAATTAAAATTTAACACATCTTTACCATTATTCTTTTTTTTTCATGATCCTATATGTCATTTATTTCTAATTTTGTATGTAAATAAGAAATTTAATTTCTTAAATATCTTTTGAATTATTTTATTTAATTTTAAATTTTTAAAATAATTCAAAAGAAAAATTTTAATAATTTAAATGATAATTTTATAAATTATTTTGTATAATTTAAACTTATATTTAATTTTTTAAAAATACTTTTAGTAGAGACAAATATTGTATCAAAAGTAGTTACAAAAGTTATTTTTAATTTTTAAAATTTTTTTATAAAAATATTTTGGGACTATTACAAGTTGCCACCAAGTATATTTTAGTGACAACTTCTAGCAAAAGTAGATTTTTAGCAACAATTTTGATTTGTCGCTGTAGCGATGACTTTTTTACTCACCGCTAAAAATTTTGTCAAAGGTCTTTTTTTTATAGTTGTTGCAAAGCATGGTAAAACGTGTTTAATTATTTGTATTTATTTATTGACAATGATGATATATGCATATATTAACACTAACAAGTATTAATTAGGAGGCACAAGTCTTAACCAACATAAGTTAATATGAGAAGCTCGCATAATGTTAAGTTCAATAACTAATATATCATAAAATGATAGGACCAATAAATTTAAACTTCAAAATTTTGAGTTAAGTTGTGATATCACTTGTCCTCTTTATTCATTTATTTGCTCACTCATTTTTAGGCAATACTTGTGATGTCTTTGATATAGATAGCCAGGGTGTTTATGTTTGTCTCGTTCTAGTCGCTCCATTTCAATTATGTCAGGAAGGGTCTATCCTGTTTCAATAAAAAAGGGGGATGGGACTTTTCTAGAAGGACGAAAATGGTTTGGGATGGGATCGAACACAAGACCACCTTTAAGACATCTCATCTCATCTCAAATATAATATATATATTATTATTCTTTTATTAATATGTAATAGTTTATTTGTTCGGTGTATGTATTTTTTTGTTAATAATATGCAAATATATTTTTTTATTGATATGTAATACTTTCAATATCTCAATTTAAGAGAAAGAGTCAATAACATGATGTTATGGTAGCCTAGTTTATCTAAGTTGTGTAAGTCAATGATTTTGTTCTTTTATTTTAAATTGTAACTCAGTGATTGAATTTTTTGTTCCTGTGTTCTTTTGTTCAAGACCTATTGGTATAATATAAGATAAAATATAATTAATTTAGTATATTAGGGTTATCCAATAGGGATATTTAAATAAAAATATTGATCCATTAGAACCAGCTTTGATTATTTATTTTATTGTTATCTTATATATCAATATTTTTAAGATTAGACTTAGATTTAAAATTGAGATTTGAATTTGAATTATTATTATTCTATTATTTTTAGAGCTATATAAATAGAGTTAGGATTTTCATTTGTATTTAATTTTTGAGTATTATTGGTTAAGAGTTTTGGTTTTTTCCCTCCTTCTTTATCTCTCCCTCCTCCTTCTCTTCTCTCTATTCCCCTCTCCCTTTCATGTTTTACATTACCTAGTGAATTATATAATTTAATAAATGTTTTTATATTCAAACCTCTTTTCCATGTTTTATTTATTTTACCAGGACATCTCGGTCCCATCCAAATCTTGTCTCAGTTTCAAATGAGACAAGATGGTTTTTGGAATGAGTTGCACAGGACAAAAATTTAGTCCTGTTCATTTTTCAAGATGGAACATGGAATAAGGCTATCCTGATCATGTCCTTTGAAAGACCCCCCATAAGGAGAGTTTATGGATTCATTCTCATGAAAATGATTGTTAGAATCTTTATTATGTGTGATTGAGGGAAAAAAAATTGAGGATGATTTTTGTGGCAAAACGAGCGTGCACTTCGTGTAATTCTCGGTCACAAGCTTTTACATTTAAACTTATAAAGTGTTGAAGAAAGAAATTGTTAAAGAAATTCCTAATTATTATAAAGTGTTGATGATAAAGAAATTACTACGAAGTTATAATTTTTTGTTGCCGCTTGTGACATGGGGAAAGGATAAGTATCAAACTTTATGAGCGCAATGCAACCTGTTACCAATGCGTTACATAATTCTAATTACGCAACATTTTCCTGTTCGTTAAAAATGATCTTATAAAACTATGTCTGAAATATGCGTTCTTATTTGAATTCAACATATATAAATAAATTGAAAGAAGTAATTAAAAGTATAATCAAAATTAATCTGAGGACCCTAATTATCAAATCAGAATCAAGTCGTCATCAAGATTTTTATTGAGAAGATATCAATGAGCCATGCCGCAGTAGCTCTTATTTTCTTTCTTTTTTCTTTTGTTGATAGAAACCAAATAATATTACGTGCTAAAGTATGATAATAAAGGCACCAATTAGCAAAGCCACAATAACAACAATTCTTGATATGTGCTGTTGCTATTGCCTGAAAAGAAAAATACCAAAGTTTAGTTTTACAATTGTGTATTAAAAAAAAAAAACGTATCGAACAATGCTACTTTGGATATTGTACCTTCTAAGGAAGATGATGCTTTTGGTGAATCAGCAACTCCTGTGATACAACATCAAAAATTTATCTATTATTAATAACTAATAATTAATCATCAATGTCATAAATTACTCTTTAAGTTCCTAATTAATGGAAGTTTCTTATTATCCTTTAATTGGGCTTTCTGAGAAAGCCAAGCATGCAGTGGCGGAGCCACCAAGATATGAGGGGGCCAAATGCACCCCCTCACATGAGAAAAATTGCACATGTAGTATGAAAAATTTACAATCTTACACTCTATATTTTTATTCTTTTGAAATTTTCAGATTCAATAAAAAATATTTGAAGGTCTAAATTTAAACTCTATATCAACCTTCTCAGTATTTTTTTGGTAAAAAAAATCTCAATATATTTTGCCTAAATAAAAATATGTGTAATTTTACTTATGTTAATATATTTTTTTCCGTAATGTAATTGATTTTAAAAAATTAGAATATAATTTTTTTAATTATTTATTTTTAAATTGTATTGTCCTGCACCCTCTAACTCAGGATCTTGGCTCCGCCGCTGCAAGCATGCACGCTCTGAGAGCTGCTAAAATTAATGTACTTAATGTAGTCTACATATAAAATTTCTCTTAAATAATAATTTTTTTTTAACAAAGAAACATATCAAACCATATTACTTGGATAAGAGTTGGTAGCTTCCAAGAAAGATGAAGCTTTTGGTGAATTCGCAACTCCCGTGATACATAGAAAATTTATCTATTATCTACAATCAATACAACTTGCCATAGATATGATTTAAAGTTGAGTTATTTGTAGGAGGGAAAATTATTAGGGGCTTCTAAAATATTACCTCTCATTCATTAATTCTCGATCTGTTGCTGTTACTGTTTCAGTAACACAACAGTTTGTGTGTGTCTATAATTTGTGTGTAATTAATCTAGGAGGTCTAGGCCTAATTTTTTATATATGTTTTGAGGATGATGGAACAAATTGAGGCTATACATGTCGAACTGCTTGCTGATTTACTGGTTGAAGCGGCTGATCTAATTTGATTTTCTCACTAAACTTCTAGAAAGGCACGAACGTACTAAGGGAAGCTCCTGGTTTGCAATTAATTGTACCTTTTCAGGTGATCGTTGGAGGAGAAGCTAGTGTTGAATCCTCAACCACGGTATCATAGAAGCGATAGTTGTCGTACCTAATATTACAGCTGGGTTTGATAATCCTACCACCTGTCTTTGTGGAACAACAATTTGGAATTTCTGAGATCGCCCCCGTCAAGCAGCCATAGCAATCTTGCTGAGACAAATCAGGAGTGCACTGAACTGCCCCATATACAGTTTGAAAATTAACCGATTCATTTCCTGCTGCATACTTACGAACTGAATCTCCACTGGCAGCTTGGTCTCTAAGTGCTCCCAATAAATCACTGACCACTTGGTTGTACTTGTCAGCCTCTGTTGCGTTATTCAGATTCCACAAGTAATATGAAACGTCTGTTTCCATGACCCCAAATATTGAACGGTTTGAGTATCGCAGAAAACATTCGTCATAGCCTCCCATGGCCTCCTTCTGATTCGGACACGACTTTGGGACGAGAATTGAGGCATTGTTGAGGCAACTACGACATTCGTTTGGTTTAACATCTCCTCTACACAACCCAATTAAGCTAACTCTGTCAGGATTTTGGCCGTGGGACAAATTGTAGAAGCCATAGTCAATTTGTGTGTTCGAATTGAGCTCTGAAACAACGACATTAAAGCTGCTCTGGTACGAGCTTGTATTTGTGTACTTACCTCTATTGTGGAAACAGTAGGCATATCTCAGGTCAGGCTGGGCGGTGAGAATGGTAAGATAAGAAATGAATAAAAGCAGAACCAAAGAAACGGTTGGCATTGGAAATCACACGGATTGGTGTATAGAAAGGTGAGTTTCAAAGTGACTAGCTACTTAGTTGAAAGGGAACGGTATATGTCTTCGTTTCTCTCGCGGGCTTATTAGATTAGATGTTGAGCATCAGGCATATATGTGTGAGATCTTTACAGACTGGCTAGTCGCGGCAACTCATCGTCAATTTTCAGAAGGCTGAATATTCAATCGTAGTAGTTGAAGACAAATCACAAAATTCAATAACCATTACTTCGATCTAGATGCCTTAAGCTACGGGTCGCACCAAACGCTGGTGCAAGTTTCTACTTTCTACACTATTTACAAATTACTTGATCTTTTCTTTCACCCAAAATAGATTGAAAATGTGTCATGAAGGCTCTATGATCTTATGAAGCTTGCACTTCTATATTTTATCAGTAAGATGCATGTACTTTATATGTTTAAATATATACACTTCTTTCATTCAAAAATATAAGACATGTTTTGAGGGATTGGATGTTAAAAAATATAAAACATTTTTAACATCTTAAAGTGTAATTATTTTTTTTAAATATCCCTATTGAATAATAATTTTATATTTATGTAGGGATAAATATGGAAATGTAGTATTAGTTTAAAGACAAATAACTATTTTATTAAGGGATAAGATTCGGTTAAAAGTACTTTATATTTTTAATGAAAGGAATGTATATATATGTACCTTTTGTTAGTGAGGAAAGGTTGAGAGAAATTTGAAGAAAGAATTATGTCAAAATTTTAATAAAAAAATTAATTACTGTAAATTTTATTAACAGTAACAGACACTAGGTCAAAATCACGATTAGGTAATAGAGTTTTTATTTTTCATTTAAGTGAAATAAATTGAAATCCATTTTAAAAAAAAAATAAAATTGATTAAAATGCACTCAAGTACCTATTTTTCATCCACCTGAGGTTAGCTCTAGCAGAAAAGTGATATGGGGAACGAAAAATGTCAAACTTCATGAGCGCAATCAACCTGTCGGCAATGCATTAGATCATAGTTCTAGAACGGGTGAAACCTTGTACTTTTTCCAACCTCGCAACTACGTGCAGTTCTTTTCTTTGACCCAAATATATTGAAAAGTATGTCGTGAATGCTCTATACTCGTCACGTGTAACTTAATCTTCAAGCCAAATAAGATCATTTACGTCCGACGGTAAACAGTGTTTTCCAATAGAAAAGCGTTATGCATATTGAGAAATATTACTTTAAAAGCAAATGGTAATTTTCTCATAAAATTTATTCAAAAAATATATTAGAGAGTAGTTGTCTCATAATTTTTTTAAGGAAGCCTTTTTGAAAAAAATTAATCATTAAATTTTGTACGAAAACCTAAATAGATATAAATTTTAAAAAAATGATAAGAGAAAAAATCTGTTTCATAGTGGAAATAGCTAACAAAATAAAAATAAAAATAATAACTCATTAAGTTTCTCACAAATTTGTTTGGGAGAAGCTTTTTCTCAAAACAATTCAAAAAAAATTTAATGAGTTTTTTTAGATAATATGAAGAGCAATGTTCTCTTGAAAAAATTTAAGAGAACTTTTTTTTATATTAAGTCAGAAAAATATTTTTGAGAAAAGTTGAGAGAAAATTATCTCTCAAAATTTTTGATTTTTTTTGGAATAATATGAGAGAAGCTTTTCTTAGATCTTAATTTCCAAGAGAAACTTTCTCTCAAATTTATCGTCTCAACTTTTTTTGAGAGAAACTATAAAATACTCCCTCCATTTAAAAATGTAAGGTATTTTTTGAGAAGTTGATGTTAAAAAATGTAAGACATTTTTAGTCTTTTGAAATATAATTATTGCCTTTTTTTCAAAATTGCCCCTATTGATAATAACTTTATTTTTATTATAGGTGTTTAATAGGGATAAATATGAAAATGTAAGGTTAGTTAGAAAGTAGCTAACTACTTTATTGGAGTGAAATTCAGTTAAATATTTTATATTTTTGAATGGAGGGAGTAATTATTACATAATTATTATTTATTCTTATTACTATATTATTAAATGATATGGTTCAAAATGCAACAAAAGTGATTGAAAAATAAGAGTGGGTAGACACTAATAGGGGTTAGGTCTAGTATTACAATGTGACAAATTAAAGAGGAATATATTTTGGATTGAATTTGATTAAATTTGTTAATATTTTTTATATATATTTTATTTAATATTTATATATTTTTCTCTTATAACTTACTTTCCAAATAAGAAAGTATTTTGCTATAGAATGTACCGAAATTTATCCTTTTTTTATATTTTTGCAGAAAAGCAAACAAGTCAATTGTACAAAAGAAAAGAAAGAAGGAGAAAATTATAATGGAAAGAAAACAAATAAAAAAAAAGAGTTGCACGGGTCCCACGCTTGAGAAGATTTAATTTGTTTTATGGTATTAGATAGCTAACTCTAGTAAGTTTCTGGGTTTTGAAATTTATCTTTAAAAGAAGGTGATTGCATTTAGACTATTTATTAAGCAACTTAAGATTAAGAAATTAAATTGCAAAGTATAAAGGCGATTAGAATTCTTAGGGTATTGTTTAATTGCTTATCTTACCTTAAAAATATTCTTTTATTTGTATTTACTTTTATTTAATAAAAATTCCACTCCTTGATTGGTTACACAACTGACATGAAAATAATTTTGCTTGTACCTAATTCCTTTTACTTTAGTTCTTTGTGGGAAGACTTTGATTTGCTTTACTACATTTGATCTACACACTTGTGGTATATTTAAATTTTGTGCATATCAATATGATTATGATTTATATAATAATATCAATATTAATTTGTCATATATTTGCTAACATCTATAGCATAAAAGAAAGTTTGCTAAAAAATTATTTATAGTATTACATTGCATTATATTTTACTTTTGCAATTGAAAAAAATATTTATATAATTGAATATATATACACAATACAAATTATTTATAATTTGTCATATATATACCCAATAAAAATAATTTAGTTTTTAAATATACAAATTTAAGTGACTCTTAAAATAACATTAATTTATAATCTTATTAATTGCCAGAATAATTTGCAAGCGTATTACTTTGGTTCATATTTTTATAGGCTTGCTAGACAATTTTTTTTATGCAAAACATTTTGTCTAATTGAGTAAAAAATTTATTGTCAGAATTTCCCAATGATGATGATAAATTGTTTCTTTTTATTTTGGTAGAATGATAAATTTTTGGTACTAAAATTTTTTCTATTAAAAAAATAAAAATTTAAATATAATTATAAATTATATTAAATAATTTTATAAAAATATTTTTAAAATATTTAAAAAATAAAAATTTAAAAATATAAAATAAAAAAATTTATAAATGTTAAAAATATTTAAATATATAATTTAATTTTAAATTAAGTTTTATAAGCAAAATTTCCAGTTTTAAATCAGAATCATTTCTAAGCTTTATAATAAATTAATTTTTTGAGATAAAATAAAAAATTTATTGTCAGAATTTCCCAATGATGATGATAAAATTGTTTCTTTTTATTTTGGTAGAAATGAAAATTTTTGGTACTACTAAAATTTTTTCTATTAAAAAAATAAAAATTTAAATATAATTATAAATTATATAAATAATTTTATAAAAATATTTTAAAAATATTTAAAAAATAAAAATTTAAAATATAAAATATAAAAATAAATTATATAAATTTAAAAATATTTAAATATATAATTTAATTTTAAATCATGTTAAGTTAAATAGTATTATAAAATTTCCTATTAAGTTATTGAAAAAAATTTCCGGAATTATCTTTTGAGTTCAAATAAATCAGAATCATTTAAAACTAAGCTTATAATAAATTAAATTTTTAGATAAAATAATATAAACTTTATAAAAGTGTAAAGTTTAGTAATATATAGATATTTTTGGTAATTTTAAATATCAAATTTATTGCAATTCAAATAGCAATAAGGCAGGTACTAAAAGTGGAATCTAATGTTATGAGTTCTACTCCTACCAAGAAATCATTAAAATAATAAAACATAAGAATTTAATTGATTGAATGGTCCAATTTCATTAAATAATATGGTGCATCAGGTTTTCCAAAAAATTTCCTACTCCAAGATAAGTTATATTAATATTTTATTTATTTTTTTTATGTTTTTTTATAATAATTTTGAGAGAAATGTGATATTTTGTTGTAGTGTTATTTAACAAGCAAAAATGGCTATTAAATTTTTTTTCTAATTATATTTTGTTGTATGAGTGGGACATTTTGTAATCCTAATTACTTATTTTTAAGCTTAAGTTGGATTGAAGTTAAAATTTCTCTCAAAAAAAAGTTCCTCATTAACAAAAGGGGTGTGTGTGTGTGTGTGTGTGTGTGTTTATATATATTTAAAGCACACGCATCTTATTGATAAACTATGGAAGCACAAACTTCACAAGAAAATAGAGCGTTCACGACACATATTTTCATCCTAATTTTGGTCAAAGGAAAGATCAAGCATTTGTAAATAGTTAGCGTAGAAAGTAGAGACTTTCACAAGCGTTTGGCGGGACCCGTCGCTAAAGGCATAATCGTAGTAATAGTTATTGAATTTTGTGGTTTGTCTTCAACAACTACAGTCGAATATTCAGCCTTCTGAAAATTGACAATGAGCATGAGCCGCAATGAGCTGGTCTCTAAAGAACTTATCATACATATATACATATATGCATGATGCTGAACATCTAGTCGAATAACTCCACGAGAGAAAAGAAGACACATATACCTTTCCCCTTTTAAGTTACCTTGAAACTCATCTTTCTATTTGCCAATCCGTTTGATTTGCAATGCCAACCATTTCTTTAGCTCTGCTTTTATTCATTTCTCATCTCACCTTTCTCACCGCCCAGCCTGACCTGAGATATGCCTACTGTTTCAATAGAGGCAACTATACAAATACAAGCACGTACCAAAGCAGCTTTAATATCCTAGTTTCAGAGATCACTTCCAACACACAAATTGACTATGGCTTCTACAATTTCTCCCATGGCCAAGATCCTGACAGAGTTAGCTTAATCGGGTTATGTAGAGGAGATGTTAAACCAAACGAATGTCG